CGACAGGTTTCGAACCTGCACAGTCCAAGAGCAACGGATTTTGATTCTGTTGTGGTAACCACTTGGCTAAGACAAGTTGGAAAGCCCTTTGAGGAAACCATTCATAAGTGAATGTCGAAGTGTGTTTCGATAAGGAAAAAACACTGTCGTCGGCAGGCTTGACAAATTTTGATTCTGTTCACGTGGAAACCACATGGGTACAAGGCCAGTTAAGATGCACCTCATCCATGAGTAAATAGTCAAGGCAGGTTTCGAACCTGCACTGGCACGGTCCAAGGGATGGATTTAGATTCTGTTGCGATAACTGGCAGACGGTAGAAGAGGGAGTGCAGGCTCTTCAGTAGGTGCCTCAGGAGGATGTGCGGGGAATTGGATGTCGCTTCAGAGGTAGAGTTTGGAATGTAGGGAGCTGTAGGGAGTGGCCTGAGAGAATGAGGGAGTAGGCATGAGGGAGGGGTCACTGCTGGAGATGTGGTGAAGAAAGACCCCTCGTCAAGGGCTTCCAAGAAGTCACTGGAATAAGTAAGCGGGGCGCATAGCGGAGTGATTATAAAATGACATACGTAAGGACTGAAATTCGTTACCTAAAGTTTCGGGCTGATACAGAAATGCGCCCAAAGGAACACTCATTGGCCATGCGGTGGTCGCTGGAGGAGGTATTGTTGAACCATAAATGGGCTCTGCGTAGAACGCTCTCAGCATGGGAATATAAAATCATAATATACGCACGAGTCATCGACCTCGTAGGATCCACACCATTTGACGAAGCAGTTGGAACAGCATCAGAACTCTGCTTCCCACCAGTCTTTGGTGGTTGCTGCTCGTCGTGACGAAGACGGCTAATCTCACGCTTAATACTACAGGTATGAGCACATGCAACAATGTACGTATCATGCATGTTCATGGGTGCTCACCAGCGTTGGCAGGGTCCTGCCTTCGTCGCAAGTCATATGACTACGTCGACGGTAGAGGCACGCATGGTCAACCTTTCTTCGTTTCGTGGTCTTTCCGTTCTTTGCGGGGTCGTCGGCCTCTGGTGTATGGGAAGCCGATTCTGGCTCATGGTGACCAGCAAGATCCACTGCTGGACTGGTATATGGACAAGTCTCGTGCGACAGCCCACTTTGGGCTACAGATGCTGTCGGCAGTCTGGTCGAGCTTTGCAACCATGTCGAGGTAGTGAATGGAACCGTCATCGAGAACGACCAAAGGGTTGATCTCGAGGTAAGCAAAGTGGAGGTCTATGTAGACAGTAGAGTCTGACGAGGAAGTCATTGAGGACTTCTTTCTTGTGTGCTGGGAGTTCGCAGAGGAGAGTTGTCTGGAGATGGATACCCAAGGTGGGAGAAGGGTATCTGGTGTGATTGAATCAGTTGCAGGATCCCACAAGGTCTGAGTGCGTGAGACAGGGAATTTGAGGGTAGAAGCGGGGAAAGGTGCGAAGTTTGGGTTTGATACAGGTGCACGTTGAAGACAATATGCCAAGAGAAGCTTTGTATCGTATTCTCTGATTGCTGTAGTCAAAATCAGTTAATGTTAGTAGGATGATAATGAGATTGAATATTGAACCTTTACTCAAATGAAGACAGGAGAATCGGAGACATCACAGAGTCAGGGGCCTCTGATCGTAGTACCCCGCGGTCACGTGGTGTGGCTGCTTGGCTTTGACATTGTTTTGCAAGCCGGCGTGTCTGAACCTCAGCGTACGTAGTCTCTAGTAAGCCTTGAAAGCATTTTTGTACATGGGTGTGTATCTGATACTCACCTGTCAGTCTGGAACAGCCTATGCTAACGGTCCATGCCAGCGGCACGGTCTCTTTCAGGCGATCGAACGTACAATTACAGGGCTCCAAGCCTGTTGTGATGCTTCTTGACGTGGATCCATGACGACTTGGACTGGCGAGGCGCCTAAGTTTGGGATTACTCGCTGGCATTTGACTCAATATCTGACGCTCGGGCTGATCAGAGTACCATGTCTTTGTACGATTCCGACTCGGATACATACAATTCTGGGACTCCCACGGTGATTCAACAGAGAAATATTTGTTTCTCATGACACAGCAGAGAGCTTTTTTAACTTCCGAGTGGTGGATGAATGGGCCGACAAGGTTGGATAAGTCGAGCTTAGATTTCCCTCGTAAGTCCGTCACCCTTCGAAGCAATCTCGGACTTTTCAGTCTCTGACTAGGAAAAATCTGATTCGTCCTCTTTGTCAGTGCTGGGGTTCGACTTCGACTTATCTCCACCTCCTGGAGCTTCTTTTTCGTATTCCGAATTTTTCCTTCTAGTAGTATCGACAACTTCCGTTTCAAAGGTGTGAAGCATGCGGTGATAAGGGACGACGAGCTGGGCAGCATCATGCCCTGCGAAGTCGCATGATTCCACCTGAGATGCTATCGATGGGTTGATAAAGAGCATGTGTTTAACTTTTCCTTCCAATATTTCCTACAAAGCCTACTAAGACAATCAGAGGAGAAAGTGGTTTTTGTTCGAGAGGGTTAACGTTGCTGCTGGAGTCTGGCAGTCAATGAACTACGCCGCTCCGCTTCCATAAAGGCAGCGATAGGGGTACCCAAGCGAAGAGAAGACAAGCGGCATTGTTTACAAGGGCCGCTCAAACAAATGAGAATATGAAATTCATAAATACCTCGATTCAATCATTGGTACGTATACGCCTCTGCGGCGGATCACGGTCAACGCCCTCCCTTCCATCTGAGATCTCCTTTCAAGCGCCAATCATATACATACGACATCACAGGAAACCGCGTTCCCTCCAGATTTCAAAAAATCGGACAGTTGTTTTGACGTCAACCAATATCTATTATCTATCGAAAAATTAAAAATTGGACATGGCAAGGGTATCCGCCGACTCCCGAGCCTGCGGCTCAGCGAGACTTTCCAGTGTCAACTTCCCAGAAAGAGGTGCTTTCCTGAGAATAGAATAACGAGGGAATAGAGCGAATAGACAGAGCAGTCTATTCTAGATGTTCGTACGACAGGTAGAGGTACGGGATAGAGAGAGAATAATCCATCGTTAAGTGAGCAAGATGGTATAGATGAATATAAATATTTATACAAGGTAAACAAAATAATCACATGAAGCGTCCAGACTGCAAGATGTTTCGTAAAGCAAGAAAACATAACAGGAAGGTAAGCATCAAGCTCCCACTTCATATGACTTCGAGTTCACCATGCCAGCCACGCAATGAAAGACTGCAGAAAAGCGTGAATTCAAGTTCCAGTACGGTCGTGTAACTCAAAATATACCTTCGGGTAATTCCTCACAATAGCTTTGCGAGTTTCGTCCATGAGCAAGATCCCCAAAGCAAAGGTAAATGGAAGACCCCAGAACATCCCAGGGATAGGCATCGTGCCAAACACCCGCTGGAAGCCAGCTCCATAGAGGTTCACGATGCAGATCAATATCGTGCCCATTATGCCGACAAGTACCAGAAGGTTGCGATGCGGGCCCCATAGAGGATTCGAATGCAGTATCGATACTCGGCGGTTACAAACTGATAGAAGGGTCCCACATTGTCCGATGGCCACTGTCACATAGCTAGTGACTCTTAGAATCAGTACTGCGAGAGGAAAGAATGACGACACACTAAATGCCTTGACCAACATCGACGAAATGGGTTAGCTGACTGAGGGTGTAACCTTGCCAGCCATCTTCCCATTGGTTGAAAGTCAAGATAACTTTATAGAAACTGAGGCCCTGCTGGTTCATGTACAAGAACCACATCGCCATCGCGCAGGGCCACAGCATCAGTCCATAGAACTGGGCAAGTTTACATGAGCGCGTTTGGGTCACCCACGTCATGAAACGTACTAAGAAGAGATGGAAGAAAAAGCGCCAATCCGCAAGCCTATCGGTCCCGGCATTGCGTGGTTTGCGCTGCATCAAGTCTACAACAGGAATTGAGCACTGGAAAGCTCATTGAATACGTGAGCACCCACCCCACTCTGGCTTCTCATACATCAACGAGATAGACATGATAACATCGTTGGTGATGGAATAGCAGGTTTGTTGATACGAGTTCAAGGGTAACTGCATGCCTAGTAATACGTTTGCGAGGATCGCCATGAATTGCGCATAACTTCCACCCTGCGGTACCATAAGTATCAAACCCGCCAAGATTATGCTGCTTCCGCAAATGCGACTCACAAGCATAAGATACAATGTGACTTTCTTCAGGTTATCAAAGACTAGTCGGCCCAACTCTATCGCGACAGGAATGGAAGCAAAGTCATTATTTAACAAGATCAAGGCAGCTTGAGAGTGATGGTATTAGTGTCATCGAAAAGACCACCAGGAAATCTATACCAGCTTCCTTGGCCACATCACTGCCACTACCCATCGCAACACCAATATCAGCGGCTTTGAGTGCTGGTGCATCATTGACACCATCTCCAGTGACTGCGACTGTATTGTCTCCGCGAGCTTTGATCTCCTCTACAATTCGCATTTTCTGGTCAGGGGTAGTGCGCACAAATACGATCTCTGTGTAGGCCCCAACGATGACATTCCAATCAAATGAGGTGAGAGATGCGACGTCTTCCCCCGTAAGTACCAGGGAGCGGATAGGATCATCATCAGATGGCTTGGTAAGATAATAATCTTTTGACGAGACCTTCTCAGATGCAGCGGCTCGGACATCCTGGATGGTATTGACAACATGTTGGGTGATGATACCGGCCTGCAAAGGGGGGTTAATAGGGATTTTATGGCGGCAGAAAATAAAGAAGACCTACCTGGCGAGCAATAGTTAGAGCAGTGAGCTTGAAATCACCAGTGACCATAAAGACTCGAACTCCAGCTCGTCGAATGATAGAAATCGACGCCGATACATCTGGGCGAGGAGGATCACAAATTCCAATTAGACCAACCAATGTTAAATCGCACATCTCCATGTACATGAGATCTTCCACGTCGTTTGGTGTAAGTCCAGTCTTGATTTCTTCTATGAGTTTCCTACATCTATTACCTCGGCAACGATATCAGACGTTAAGATGCCAAGTCAAAAGTGCTCATACCCACAGCACGAGTACTCGTTGGCCACGGCTTGACCAATCCTCTTGAAGCATGGCAAACCTCTGCCTCGCCGTACTTCTTAACTTGACGACCGTCCCATCACTCTGTAGCACACTGCCGCAGGAAGGGAACAAAACATCAGGAGCTCCCTTGACGAACATCCATGTCGATTCTACGTTCTTTTCAGCAGTGTTGACCCTGGAGACCACAGAAAGCATCCATTTGTTGCTGGAATTGAAAGGGATCTCAAACTTCTTATGATGATCTTGCTGAAGAGTACTGGCATTCACACCAAGCTCCGGTATTGAAAGGGCTTCGGAGAAACGCAAAAGAGCAGTATCAGTCGGATCGCCCTTGATCGTACGATCCTGCACAGGAAGGTGGTTAGTCGTTGCGTCGAATCTCGCGCCGTTGCAAAGCCTCGCGATATGATGGAGCGCCTTGAACGCAGAAAATACGGCAGGGTCTGATGCCTTCGTAACCCTCTCGTTAATTTCCTCGACACCAAATACGTGATCGAGAAAGGCAATATTCTCTACCATCTGTGGGTCCATCAGCAAGCTGGTAACAAGAGCAGATGCATCGTTCATCTTACCATCTTTCCCGCGGTCAACGTGCCAGTCTTGTCAGAACATAGCACGGACATGCATCCTAACGTCTCGATGGTCGCCAGATTTTTGACCAACACCTGACGTTTAGCCATGCGACGGGCAACAACAGTTAACGAAAGTGCCACGCAAATCGGGAGGCCCTGCAAGACGTCAACTAAGAAGGGGATGCAAACTTCCACTGCTGGCCACCTACTTGGGGAACGAAAGCAGTCAAGCAGCCAATTGAATTTACGATGGCAGAAGACGGGGTGTCATATCCAGGATACGATGTCCGTAACCAAACGGCGTATAGAAGAATCGATAAACAGAAGAAAAAGAATGCGATACATGAAACGATTTTGGTGAAAAACCACATTTCTCTTTGAATAGTGGTAAGCTTGAACTTTGTTTCTCCCGACATCTTGACAAGGCGTCCCATAACGGTCCTATCTCCTGTGGCGAACACGACACCATGGCAAGTCCCTTGTACAACAAAAGTGGAAGTCAGTGCGAGATTACGAGTCTCCAGAGCATTGTCGGATGTTGCATCAAGAGCTCCCGGTACCATTTCGCTGCAATTAGACTTCAGCCAAATTCGAGCACGTAAGATAAGGAACAGACCTTTCACCCGTCAGGAGAGAGCGATCAAAGCGAAGGTCGGACGATGCCTGCACGACACGCATGTCGGCCGGGACACGGTCGCCAGCATTGAGCACGGCAACATCACCGACTACAATGTCAGTAGCTTTGATTATTTGCTGGTTTCCGTCCCTAATGACCGCAGCCTCATGTGCAATTAGAGATTTTATTGACTTCATGATTCTGTTTGCATTCCAATCGACCAAAGCATAGAATGTAGCAGAAACGACGATGACGATGATCTGTAGTTGATGAGAAGGGGGAAATTGAGCACTAGAGTTGAAAGTCACGAACCAATAGCACAGCAATACCAAGAGTGAAAGGTACAGGAGGCCCGAGTGGTTCATAGGAGAGCTAACGTGTATATTAGAGAAGTCACAATGGCAAGTGAACAACGGCACTCACGATGGTCAAGATGAGCGAGATCCACATGAGAAAATTGAAGCCACCAAAAATATAATTAAGCGTTTTCTTCCAGTAGATAGTAGGTGGAGGACTAATAACATTCTTGCCATCACGCTCTCTGCGACGAACAGCGGCAAGCTCCAAACCGACTGTGGGATGACTGGAATACCGGGTATACACTTCGTCGACAGTCAGTAGATGGGCATCAATGTTTTCAGTTGCATCCGCTAGGTCTGGCGAGGATCTGGAGGACGTCTGTTTCTCTTCGACGCGACCTGATAATGTACGGTATCTGTTCGTTGTTAGGTCAGTGATATACCGCGTGGGAGATAAAGATGTAAGTAGAATACAAACGAGATTTGAATGCCATCACCTTTGCCAGACCCGGACTCAGGAGCTGTGTCTGACATCAAAGCGACGTGCTTGAGGATCTTTGCTTCCTCTTGTTATTTATCACATACTATCCTCAAGGCAATCCATCGAATTTGCATTGCCAGACCTCAGAATTTTTAGATCTTACTAAAGTGTTTTTGCCATTCTGAGTAATGCACCGGGCAAAACCTATCACGCGGGCGTTGTTAGTGAGCTAACGTCGAAGATCTAAATCGTTAGCAGCCGCCAAGCCGCCGATCCCCGACTCTGCTGGAACTTTCACCTACCGCCTGCCGGCTGTTGTCAACCATCGTCAGTTCAGAACGTCTAGCGTCCTCCATTTTTTTTCGTTAGAAATTGTTAGAGTGGTTCAGGCCCGACCCACAAGGGGGAAAAAACGATAACCTGCGTTCTCCAGACGAGACAACGAGAGTGAGACAGACACGTCATCCAATATAATCACGATAGCAAACCCATCAAATGAAATACATCCCGTAAACAAAAGATAACACGAGAAGCAGGAGCAATGATAAAACCCAAGAAGCAGAAGCGATGATGGGACTCACCAGTGCAGATGACAGTGGGGATGATAAAGTGCGCCATGATAATCAGGGTAATCGCATATATTGTGAACAGTACAGGGCAAGCACGAGGCCTCGTCCAACACTCGAGGGACGGGGGAAGGCGTCTTCACTAAGAGCATCCTGGACAACTTGCAATAGATGAGAAGCATGTAATCAAAAGCGACGAGAGAGTCAAAGGAACGGTGAGACAAGTGAATTCAAGAGGAGAAGACATCGAACACAGAGTCTTACCAAGGTGTCGGAAAATGGAACATGAGGAAGTTTCCGGTACCACGCGTCCAGCTGAGCGAAAGCGGCGTGAACTGTCAATTTGCAAGTGTGACCCCTTCTTCGTAGTAGGGCCAACTCATCACAGAAATTTCAAAAATTGAGCATGTGTTGTTGTTAGCTTGCTGGCCCGGTCCGTATGCCAGATTTGATTGCCAGCAATGGTTTGTTGCTCAAGTACAGTCAACTCGGTTCGAAGTTTCATCTCCAAGATCAGCGGCCATGGGCTAAATGCACCCTAGTGACCTAGCACTACTAGTACTGTCCATTAATTGGGCACACAGTGTCATGCCACTCAGACTGGCCGAGTTATTGATGCTGGTGGGAAAACACAAGTGAAGTGGGTATCCTATTAGCAAAACGACTAATAGCTGATCATCTGAGTGTCATGTCGTGGCGTCACGTATCGTGCGGTGTAAGTTGGAGAATTCTCTTTTTCGTTCAGTGTTTAAGGAGCATCTGGTTTACACACTTGGCGCGTAGGCTATATTCAACGTTCACTATCTACCGGTGTACAGACATGGCTTCAGAGGACCTTCACGCAATCTCCGCTGACTGGCTCAAAAGCCTAGAGGTCGCGTCGTCCACTGGAGACGTTATTTCATTTATGAGTCATTTCCTTTCGGACGGGTGGCTCAGAGGTCAGTGCTTGTCCAAGCAAGTGAGGCGCACTGACAAATACTCTCAGATCTTTTATGTTTTTCTTGGGAATCACAGAACACTATCGAGTCTGGAAAAAATACGCGGATTTCTCTCGGAGGTTGTTGATGGGAAGTCGCGACTTGAGCGTTCTAGTCTTCGTGACTTCAAGATAGACGATCACACTATCAATGCGCCTTCACCATTCAAGTTACCAGGTTCACAAGGCATTGAAGGAGTACAAAGCGCTTTCACCTTTAGCATTACGAACCCAGCTGCACTCGGACGAGGTTTCTTCCGTCTGACGCAAGATGTCGATGGGAAGTGGAAGGCTTTAACTCTTTTCACAAACATGCAGGACCTCGTCGGGTACGAGGAGTCTTTCACAGACCAACATGGCCTATACGAGGGTCGAACAATAACTTGGGAGGAGGATGTCGATACAAAATTCCGTGCTATCGAGGCCGACCCCACTGTTCTGATCGGTGTGCCGTTTCTTTTATGAATCATAGTGTCTTGATGAGTCATAAAAGTTGGTGGTGGACAATCTGGCCTTATGTGTGCAGCGCGGCTGCGTAGGTTGGGGATCCGTGCACTTATAATCGAGAAAAATGTGCGTGTCGGAGACTGCTGGCGACAACGGTATGCACAAACAATAATATGTTTTCTTTATTATTAAATAATGCGAAACACAGGTACCCAAACCTTACGCTGCATACTCCCGCGTACCAAAGCTCCAGTATGTCTTATTATCTTTCCACGGGCTTGGTACTAATGAATACACAGTCCTTTACAATCCCTATCCGTATGTGCCTTCTACAGTCCAAAGGTATTGCATATCTCAATAATGTTAGGACAAACTTCCCGAAGTACATTCCTAAGGGAAAACTTGCCAATTTCCTGGAATCATACGCTGTTAATCAGGAATTGTGTATCTGGCTCTCCAGTACGATGACCTCAATTCCAATGTACGACTCATTATCCGCAAGATGGACTGTAGAAGTACAGCATGGAGATCAGAAAGTAATCCTCAATCCAAAGTATCTGGTCCTTGCCACAGGAAGCGGGAGCCCTCACATTCCTACCTGGAATGGAATGGATGGATTCCAAGGAACCTGGTATCATTCCGACTTCCATAAAGATGCAGAGCAGTTCCGAGGCAAACGTGTCGTCGTTGTAGGTGCGGTAAGTCATATATGTGCACTTTATATTTACGAGCGTACTTACGAGATCGTTAGGGCAATGCTAGTGGGGATATATGTCAAGATTTTGTAGCACATGGTGCCGCTGAGGTGCGTGTATAGATTGAAATAAAATGAAGTCATAGTTTCATAAGAAGAAGAAAAGGTAACATTGGTCCAAAGAAGCGCTACATGCGTTGTATCCTCTGCTGCCATGGAGAAAACTCGTTTTAAGCAGTCTTACCCCATCAACACCCCTATCGAGGAACTGGATCTCCGCAGCAATTCAATGCCTCTAGCCTTCTCCCTACAACTGACAAAATCAGGTGGGATCCAACCCATGAGAT